ATATAATAGTAGCTTAGTTAAATTAATTATTTTTCCAGCAATATATAAATTGAGATATTTTACAGCAACACACATCAATTCTAACCCATACAGTGGTGGCAAAGTTTCTAAGTACATTGACACAAATCCTACTAATAAAACATGATGATGACTTCACGAGCTGTAGCATTAAAAGATTAACACAGTAGGCCTATATGTATCATACGGAAGACGAGAACGACCATGTATTTGTGTGTGCGCTGTTATTTCGTGATAACGACTTATTATTTCGTTATATCGCCAGGGCAATTATTTCCTCATTCATTGCCTCAAGGAGGGACTTTCTGCCAGAAAAGGCGCTATGTGGACACAGGCCCTAATATCAGACCTCTGAATGCCGCCAGATCATGGTATAATTTGAAATGTAGTAAGTATGACTTACAAAGGAATAGGTTGCGTGATAGGATATATGAGCTGGAACGGGAATGGAGTTTGGAAGGAATTTTAGGGATGAGTGGGAAAATGAGGGAATGTTACAGGGCAGTATTTAGTTTAGTATTTAGTCAAAGACATTGGAGTAGAAAATCCCCCTCCCGCCCCCCTCCCGCCCCCCTCCCGTTAGACCGTAACCTGATGTACATACCCTGAGACTACACACTCCGGTACAGTAGGTGGCGGTATGCACCTTAAAACGTTGGTTGTAATCCGCCATTAGAAGAAGAAAAAGAAGAAGAAGAAGAAGAAGAAGAAGAAGAAGAAGAAGAGCCGTATCATCGTACAGTTCGTACTGAAGCTAACTTATTGCACAATTATTTTCCGATTAAAGCAAGTTTTTTCCCAGTAGGTAACTAGGGTAACTAACTGTCCCATGGGAAGCTGAGTCCTTTTCGGTTAGCGGTAACAGTAGTAGTTAACTGGTTGCTACAGCAGAGCTAGGTTTATTGCAATCTTAGCTAGCTTCTAATGAGCTAGCTAACACTTACCTAAAGACGTAGTTTCAACGTAGTCGGCAAGATTCATATCGAAAGCATCAAAATTACAGATTAAGGTAAGTGCATTTCACTGATAGAGTATCTGTCGTGATCGTTCAAAATATCGTCAGACTAAGAAACGATAGGATTGGCAGTGCGTTTAGAAACTCCATTGCAAACTTCTCATACTGTTACTCTTCTAAGTCATTTGTGGAAGTTACCAAGCTGTAATGTAGCGGGCTACTGTTGGAGGCTATATGGGATCAGTAGGGCGTTGCAGTGAAGCTATTTTACTGTCAATGTTGTATATCTCAGCTGATGGAGACATTGTTTGGCTGGTTTTTGATCAGAGTTTTTGTCTCATAGCATGGCGCTCAAGTCAGGAGAGGAGCGTCTGAAAGAGATGGAGGCTGAGATGGCTCTGTGAGTACAACCGCTTCACCCAAATCACATAAACATAAAAGCGTTTTTAACCCATCCCAAGTGCTACAATGCGACACGAGCAGTTGTATTGTAGGCGGGCAATGTGCATAGAGGAAATGAGGTGGGCCTAACTCTGAGACACTCGGGTTACTGTTATCACATGATGATTTGTATGTGCAGATGTGAGATCCTCTTCCCCAGACATATCACATGTATCAAACAAAAGAGCAGGTGAGGAAAAAAAATCACGCAGGCTCGATTTATACCAGCCCCAAGAAGGTTGATGCTGGAAAAAAATATGGGAATGTACTTCCTACAGGAATCAGGAATATAAATCACACCAGACATAAAGTGAATGCACCACACAATTATCTAGAGCACAACATACACAACACAACATTCACTAAAATAACTCAACTAATAAAACACTAACTAAAACTTTCAGGGTATTTTTGCAATAACAATATTCTTGACGATATGAGAAATTAGTTAAAAAATAAAGTATTAATTTAGGAATATAGAATTGCAACAAAACAAGTCATATAGTTTTATATGTCAGTCTAAAAGTTTGCCTTCAAATATTCAGTAAATACTAAACAAAAATAATCTCTAATTTCTTTAGTTTGAGAACAACAACAATGACTGCAGAGTGAGATTAAGATTCTGTATACAACATAGATACCTTTCCCTTTAAAAAAAAGTCTCTATTAAAAGTAATCACACATAGGTCTGCCAACCAATAGAGTTATTGCTTCACTTTTGTCATCAACATAGATAGACACAGGGCTTTCATAATCATGAAAAAACTGAAAAAGTCATGGGATTTCACAATTGCATTTCCCAGGCCTGGAAAAGTCATAGAATTAGTAAAAATTGTTGAAAGATTTGGAAAAGTCATGGAATACTTACAGTAATCTTGTGTGAACCTTCCACATAATGTAACATAACAGCAAATGTATTTTTTGGAGCTGACTTTATAACGGAGCTGTTATATGCATTGATGTTTTGTTTACCACCACATTTGGTCCTTGAAAAGTCATGAGTGTGGTGGAACCCTGTAGACAGGTAGCAGTTGTTGCTGATCCTTTCAAATGTAACTTTTCAGTGGTTTGAGCAGCACAAAGTAAATTGATTGATTGAAATGATTTTTTTTTGTTTCACTTTCAGAAATAAATGTCTTAAACCCTTAGTGGCGCAACTTAAACGGCTTCACTCTATTTGCAGAGACATTTTTTTAAACAGACTTTTTAATAAGTGTAACAGTTTTATTAGCCCCTTTTACACTGCCAGATTTTCCGCTAATGTTGGACGGCTGCGTTTAGACACACAGCCGGATTGGCGAGTTGATCCGAGGTGCCCAATTTTCCGCCTTGTAGGGTAGTCATATAGACGGAACCCTTTTAGTTTAAAAAGACCGAGGCGGCCTTCTGCAACGGGAGGGGCTGTTGAAGACTTGTGGGAGGAGCTGTTGATGACGCCGCACATGCGAGCCACTGGCGGTGGATAAACAGGAAACAGCTGATAGCAGGAATGAGCGAGCAGCTAGTAGCATGAGGGAAACGCAAACCTGACAGACACTAGCCGTTTCTCAATACTCAAGTTCGGCATTTCGGACTTGTGGACTTGGCAAGTTCGGACTTGGCAAGTCCACGCGAGAGTCCGGACTTCCCAAGAACGGGAGGATGGGAGTACACTCATTTCTGCTTTTGGAACAGCAGCGAACTTGATGATGTCACCACCTCCGCTCGCCTTGGCTGTTGTACTGTGTTGTATACATGCATTTAGAATAAAACAATATAAACACAGCCCTGCGGCTTTTCATAGACACTGTAAGAAATTAATATGTATATGTTTTTAACGTTTCAACATATATAACTGACATACAAGCTAAATTGCCAAAATATTTTCATTAAAATGTCTTTTAAAACCTTTTCCCCGCAGCTGGTTTCTGATTATAATCAAAAGTCAAGTGCGGGGGGAAAAGTTTGTGGAGAGTTGGTGGTTATTGTGATCGTGAGCATTGGCGAAAAAATCAAAAATCAATAACGGATCGGAGAAGGCATCTTGGCGCAGTTATTGCAGCAGGACTGCTATGCAGGCTGAGGAGGAGGCTGCCCAGCTGAGGAGGCAGATCCCAGAAAGACAGCGGAGAATGAAGATGAGGATGAGACGTGCGATGCTTGCACGTCTGTTCGATATGTTTGTCCAGTTGTGGACAAATTACCCAGGAATATCACAACAAAGAGCAAAAATTCAGTCACAAGTAAAAGTGCTGCATACCAAATCTGACTTGAGTAAAAGTATCTGGGTATTGTCAGCAAAATGTAGGACTACTTAAAATTAAAAGTTCAAAGTACTCATTATGCAGAGTGACCCAGTTTCAAGTGTTGTGATCATCATATACATGAATATGTATTGAGTATTAATTGATCAGTGTAGGCTACATGTAAGCAGCATTTAAATGTTGTCGTGGTAGAACTAATTTTAACACCTTTCACTAGTATACTAGTCTAATCTATAACAACACACAGCAACTTGTAAATAGGAAACTTACAACATATAAAAAACTATCTGAAAAGTAACTATAGCTATCAAATAAATGTAGCTTGAGTAGAATGTACAGCATTTCCCTCTAAGTAAATGGAAATACCCAAAGTACATCAAATTTGTACTTCAGTACAGTAGCTACTTGAGTAAATATACTTAATTACTGTCCATCACTGCATTTGTCTCATCATTATGCTTTCTGTCTACATTTTTTATGGAGACTTGACAGTTTACTTGGTATACCAAAAACAGCAGTTTAATATTCAGTCGGCGTGTCACCGCTGCTAAAGTATTGCCGCCGCTGCTGCTCCTTAAAAACATTTTTGCAAATGCACCACCACTCTGAGACATCTGTGCACTTGCACAGCGCAGCAGCCAGTATGGTGAGGGGAGTGGGGAGTGGGGGAAGGCTCCTATTTAGGGATGCACCGAATATATTCGGCCGAATATTGCAAAAAAACACACATTTTGCGTTTTGATAACGCAATCAAACAGCGTGCGGTGACGGACAGAGTAAAATGTCGGCAGTGTGGTGATAAACAGTAACGGCGAATCCCACCGGTTGTGGGTTGAACGGGGGTCACAGACACGGACAGGAATACGTATTCCTGTCAAATACGGCGGCGCATTATAACGGCTTACCGGCGAAGAAGTCCGGCTCCAGGTGAATAACTTGTTGTCATGACTGCCCAAAAGTACCTGAACAGCTGAGCCATGGCGGCACACAGTATGTGGCGTATCAGAGGAGAAACTTTAGGGACTGTTCGTTACTTATGAAGGGACTTGTCAGGGGAGGAGGGTGGCTGGTTGATTTTTATTTCATTTATTTATTTTATTTTGATCCCCCCTATGTTAATCACTTATTGATGCTGTTTTTGAAGTATGAATAAGTCAATAAGTAATTTATTCCATTGAAATATCATTGATGTATTATAGAAAAGTGATTTATCTTTTTATAAATGACAAAAGGCACATCTGCCTCATTTTTGCTGTGGTATCGTGATACTACTCAGAAC